TGCCTGTGTCAACTGATGCTCTCCCAAGTAGTTATTGAGTCTGTATCAGGAACTAGGAAAAAAAAAAAAAAACAAAGATCCTTCCCACCAGTCTCTTTTTATGCATCTGTGTTGTTTTGGAAACTAAGACAGGTTACTGGCTTAGACACTCACTGCTCTGTGCCAGTTGGCCTCAGAGCTTGTGAATGTTTTTTGTGTATTTGAATTACCTCTGTAGGTGAAGTCGAATTTAGCGCAGCCTCTGTGAGAACAGCATCCTTGGGACCAGTCCTCACGAGTGCGATAAGCAGAGCTCAGGTATCACCCCTCTCCATCAGCACAGACAGGGCAACACCTTGGGCACACCTTCCCAACCTCATAGCAGAGGTTAGCACTGAGCAAGGGAACAAGAGGTTAGATTCAACCCTATTTTACACCTGGTTTACATCATTGTTTCTGGTGGAATGCCCTGCAATCTGTTCCATCTAATTTATTTGATCATTAATGTCTTCATCCTTTGGTTTTGCACTGCTATTGATAACTGTAACAATTTCTCGATCTACCAATGCAGAGTCTTGACTGATGGAAAATGACAGTTGCGTGGGTGTTATAAATGTCTAGTGCTCACTTGCAAACAATCCTTCCAACATAACATGAAGTTTGCTCCGAACACAGACATGCCCTCTATGCCTCAAAACTGTGACTTCAGTAAATCAAATAACAGCAAAATAAAATCAGTTACACAGAAAAATCAATCAACCATCAAAACCACAAATCAAAGCAAGAGCAAAAATGGAAAACTCTCCCTTCTAAAACCTAAGAATTATTACAAAAGAGAAAAGCCATAGCAGCACCAAGAAGTCACAGAACTTTTCTATTGCTCTTGGTTACTAATGAAATATTATAAGGTTTTGTTCTTTTTCAGATGTTGTGATGATGTAGAGTGGTATATGTCTTAAAGAAAGACAGATTATTGCTATGTTGAATCAAACCATTGATATTTATGTTCTTCATGAATAATTTCATGTACTCATTTGAAAACTTTACAAACTTTCACACCCTGTGGAAAAAAACAGCTGGTTCCCTCATTTAATAGAAGGGAACGGGGAGAAAGACTATGTGCCTTGCTCTTTGTCTCAAGATTAAGTGGAAGAGACTGTCTCCCAGTTCTGCATGCAGAAAGGCACTGGTTGAGCTTCTTGACAGACGGCATAATAACAGTCTAACCCAGCACCCCTTTTGATCTCAGATCTGCATGGAAATACTGGCCCGTAGAAAGTGAAACATGGCTTTGTTTATATAATAAAATATTTCACAGGTATGACATATGGGTAAGTGCAGAGCAAGGCTGACAATTTATATCCACATGTGGAATATAAAGATAGGATTGTACATTCATAACTGCAAACAACTGTTGCTGGAATTGTGTTTTCCAGTAGATTGGTTGTTTATTCCTATTCCCATGCAACTTGCATTGGAAAAACGTTATTCTGTCTCCTGAAGGTTCTTTTGTAGACAGTCCCTATGCAGCACCTAACACAGAAAACTCTCTATCACACAAGAGATTTCTAAATACCGTTTTTCCATAGTTGCTTTAATAGAGATCTGAAATTCAAATAAAAAAACTGTCTATTTGTTACCTGAATTATCAATTTTCATTATAAACAAATAAAAAGACATAAGTCAGTAGTTCCTTCACAAATAATTTTGGGCTCCTGTTGACAAAATGTCATTGGCACTATCATCTGCTCCTCAGGATCATATGGCTTTTGTGGAACTGGGAAATGATTAATCTGAACATTCACTTCACTTTTACTCGTATTTTCATTTTTTAAAAAGTAGGATTTTTTACGTCTGTTTTTTTTGATTTAATGATTATGACATGAAGTAGACCAGGTGGGAGTACTAAACATTTCCAAGAGATGGTTTCAGAAGTAGAGTTGTTGCTATCTTAGAGGAAATCCTGTCTTGCAAGAGGAAGAATCAGATTCTCTTCTGTTCTAATTTCTGGCTTATAACTGTGGCAATTATGCTTGAAGTTCAGTTGTTCTAGATTGCCCTTTTAGCCAGTGCACAGAAGCATCTTTATCTATTAGTGAGTTATTTCCATTCCACAAAAGGATTATGCTTTTAATTTAGCAGCTCAGTTAAGTGTTCAAAATCAGAGTGAGAAGATCTGTCCCCCAGAATCCTCCAATGCTAAGCTTTGGCTCAATGTTGAGTTATTCATTTTGGTAAATCATGTAGAACCACCAGAAAAGGCCTTTAAATGTGCAGAAGGCCTCTGGAAAGTGTTAACCATTCCTGGGATGAAAGAGTTCCACAGCTTGTGAATTTACTGTGATTTTCCTCTCAGCTAATGTAGACTCAGCTAATGCTGAAACATTTTCCAAGGATGAAAGAGAATGTTTGAGTACCAACATATCATAGAATTATTTAGGTTGGAAAAGACCAATAAAGTCATGAAATCCAACCATTAATCCAGCACTGTTGAGTCCACCACTAAACCATGCACTTCAAATATATCTTCTCTGGTGAGTCATAAAGCATTTGGGGACTTCCTACCTGCAAGCTGCTCTGTCGTTTCCAGTAGGATGCTAGCACTACTCTGTTCCTGGGATTTCTCAATGCAAATTCATCCCTTCATGCTTGACTAGAATAGGCTATTCCTCATTCTGCCAAAGTACCAGTTTTCCCAGTAATGGTGCTTTCATTGTTATATCCCTTTTATACGCAGGTATTTGCTGTTCAGGGAGTAAAGGAAGGAGTAGATGAAAACCCATAAAGCCACCATATATCCAGTCTTTCAAGGGTCATTATATTGTCCGCAAGGCATAATGCTCTTGCCATTTTCAGTTTGTCTCTAGTGTGCTGAGTTGTCATCAGGGTAAATAGCTACCTTTCTTCATAAATGAGTAGTGGCTTTGTATCAGACTCAGTCCAACCACAGACCAGTAAAGCTCTAAATAGCACTGGAACAAAACAGCTGCACAAATGTGAGAAGTTCATGTGATTTCTTCTGGTTAGGATTCACTTTCATGTTGTTTAGACATCCTTAAACACAAACAAGGAAGGTCTATTATTTGGTCAGACCGGACTCTCAGACATCTCATTATTGTGACTTTCAACAGCACAGTTGTGTTTTCAGGCTTTGAGAGGTGCAGTAGCTCTTCATTATTACCAAGACAGGAGCAGGAAAAAGAAATGGATGCTCATTTCATTAATGGCTGTTGAGAGACAAATCTCCCTTTCTTTGTTGTGCCTGATCAAAGACAAATCCAGAAAGATGCCTCACATCCCAACATGCGATCAGTGTGTGATTTCAGATATTTTGGCTGAACCCCATTTTTTATGAATCTATGTATCAGGGTTCTCATTGGAAATAGTGAAGAGGGAAGGCACCTGGCACTTTAATGAGCCTGAGAAGTCTACAGTCACAAACACCACCAATGTTTCCCAATTACTGCCTTAATTTTGTAAGCAATCATGTATAAATCCCATCCTCACAGACAAAATCTCTCTTTTCCACTCTTTCCTTTTTCTCCATTCCTAATTCACCCTTGCAGATGAGATTGGGGTCTTTGGGAATAGAATCTCATTTGAATTCTGAAACTAACTTTTAAGACTAACTCAGTACATCTAGTGAGACAACATCTGATCTATCCAATCTCTAATCGATTTAACAGGGGTAAGGGCATGGGCAGGCAGGACTTAGGATTTTCCTTCTTATTTCCACAGAGCCCTTCTGGGTATTTCACAGAGCTGCTAAAGTTCACGTTCCAGGACAAAGTAAAATGTCTTTGAGGCATCGAGTAGCACACATTTAATGAAGATAGAAAGCCAATCACTTAACATCAGATGAGGAACAGCAATTTCCTTCAGTCTGGCACTTTGTGTATTGAACAAAATTGCATGAGAGCTTTGAGCACTAGGAGAGCTGTCAAGCGGCCGTTTGTCTGGGAGCTGGAGCAGTCCCCTTGGAAACAGCTTAAACCTTTTAAATGAAAGCATTACAAAATGTACATCTGTGTGTAATATATTGGCCATAGCCTCAACTGTCAAGGGCCAGGCTATGCAATGTTGATATATATTTTTGCCTGATAGTCATTTTCATGCTTTCACATGTAAACACAACCTCCTTTAAGATTGCAGGGTACTTGGCTGCTCAATAAGCAAGCATCATAAAAAAAGCTTTGCCCTTAAAACTGATTCAGCTGGGTTATCTGACCATAACGTTTAACTCAAAAATTTTGATACTTCCTGGACCTCTCTATTGCAAATACGTTGAGATTTCTTGTTAGATAAGGCAAAATGAGAAATTTGACAGTCACCACATTATGGAGAGAATTACAGATTTTAGAGGGGACATATTAATAAACATACTGTTGCCATATGTCATCACCTGTATAAAACGTTAATCCAAATTCAGAAGTTTTTTATTATATCAGTCATTTGTGAATGTGAACTTTGAGGAAACGTGTTGTTTGTTTTATTTCTTTTTATATTTTTTTATAAAGCAATGTATTTACTCATTGTGTTTTTTCCTGTGAAAATGGCTAACAAAAAAGCCAGATAAAAGAATACATGGATGGCACATAATTTAAAATATATTCCCCAGGAATATACTTGGTCTTGTGTTCTCACACTGCTGAAAATATGGGGCAGCTCTTCTGAAATCAGATGAGTTTTAACAAGTAAAACTGCTTTAAGTGAGAGGAAAATCAAGCCTGTTTTTTTCTAGTCCTCTCTGTCTCTCAATCTGAGATTTCCTTGATTCTCTCCCTTCATCTTCTCCTCCAAAGCCTGCTTGCAACTTGTACTCCTAGCAGCCACTTTCTTTAATGAAAAGTAATGCTGAGCACTGAGCAGATTCCACTTCAGCTTTGACAGTGGGAAGTGGATTTAAAGTATCTGACAGAGCTGTGAACTACAACTGATTGGGCATTTTGGCAGTTTAAAAGTATTGCCTTTTTTTTTTTTTTTTTTTTTTTGCCTTTGGCATCTCACTTTTTTTCCTCCTCACTACTCCATGTATTACTTTTAGTCCCCACAGGGTGCCTTATCCTCGGTCTTGTCACCAGCTTGCTCCGGGAGTATTCGGCAACAGATATTCTTGGTCTTCAGCACTAAGACCCTTGCCATGCCCTACTCAGAATCCATTCCATCAAGCAAGTATTTGGCCTAAATCTGTGCAACAAGATCACGAGATCAATTTCAACCTTCACCATATGATTTAGTTAGTATGGTGGTATTTGGTCAAAGGTTGGACTTGCTGATCTTGAAGGTCTTTTCCAACCTTAATGGTTCTATGATTCTATTAACAAATGAGAAAACTATCTGAGAAGCATCGCAGTAAAGAGTGTACAGTGGAGACCTCATCTTCTGTTGATTTATTTTGAACTCAAGGTGAAATGAAAAAAAGGAAAAAGGAGCTTCTTGGAGAAAATCCCATTCTCTCTCTCTTCTCCCAGAATAACCATAGGAAATGCGTGTAGGAAGATGACATTTGTAATCTTCATCATGACATTTTGATTCCTCTTGTGGCTAAAGATCCAATCCTTCTCTCATTCTCCATCAAGGCCTTCCTATTGTTTTTTTTCTATGATCACAGGAAATTTGGAAATTTGAATTTGGGAGAAAACACAGTGAGAATTGATCCAATAGTTCACAGAAGGACAGGAGAAGTGTACTGCTGTTTTCCAAGAAGTTTTGTGATGAGAAATGGGATTGTGGTTGATGTTTTGACAATATTATTCATTCCATAACAGTGATCCATTGAAATCAAAATAAATCCACAGCAGCAAAATAAAAAAGCATAAAACAGGCCTATTGTAAGCAAGTGTGAGAGAAAACAGTAGTTATATGACAACTGGGTAGATTTTAGAAGTTGAAAATTGGGAAAGGCTCCAGCTCATGATTTAAAAGACAGCTACTGCAAGCAGTGGGAGTTTACAGATCAGCAGAACAAGCTATCAATTTTCAATAAAATATTAGGAGTAGTTTAATGCAATTAACCTCCTGGGAAGTGTGGTGGGCCAAGTTCAGAGGTGCACTTGAAACAAAGTCCTGGCTCCAAGCCACTTCTAGAGAGTATGGTTATTTGTTGAGTAGAAAGGACCTGCATCTTGTTTTCATTCCTCTTATCCCTCAATTCCTCCTCCAGCCTTTAATCTTCCTAGAATCATAGAATAGTATGGGTTGGAAGGGCCCTTAAAGATCATCTGGTTCCAATCCCCCTGCCATGGGAAGGGACACATACCACTAGACCAGGTTGTTCAAAGCCCCATCCAACCTGGTCTTGAACACTTCCACACATGGGGCATCCACAGCTTCTCTGGGATATGATCTTCACTTACACTGCTTTCTTTGACCACTTGATTTAGCCTGCCGCAGGGATATACCCCACATTCTGAATAGTGTTCAGGCTGACAGTTACTGTGACATCATGACTTTCTTTTCCTATGGAAAGAAAGGGGACAATACAATGCCATCAGGAGTAAAAATAAAAAATTGCTCTAGAACAGCAATAAAGTACAGGGTTTAGAGACTGAGCTGCTTGTTTCTAACTTTAGCCATCTACAGATTCATTATCTTGCTGGCTGTGGATGTTTCAAACAACTTCATGGAGAAACATCCTTTGAAAACTATTAATCACAGAATCTTCCTCTGACTGAAGAAGTCCCTGAGTCACAACATATGAGGGTCTGGGAGAATATTCAGCAGACATAGCTTTCAATATGCTTGCTTGTTCTTGCACTGTTTTCCTAGAAGTCCACGTTGATCACTTGAGTTGATGAGTCATTGGTCCAACCCAGGACAGTCATTCCTACAGGAATCATCTGGACATCTTGTATCATTAATAGAGTGAAAGAAAAACATTTTCTAGAGATGGTTCTCAATGCTCAAGTATAGAAGCAGCCCAGTGACTAACAGAGCTGGAACATCCATCTCTGAGAAAGTTATGTCTATTCCTGTTGTGAAAAAGAGGTGTTAAGTGAAGGACCTCTTCAGATGCTGGATGCTGGTAGGTCACAAAGGACTAGAGTAAAAAGGTTGAGGGATGAGTTTCTGAGAGCTGTGATCATTTCACCTGTAGATTGTAAAGCTCTTTTAACATCAAGAGTTTTCCAGGGGTGCAAGTTTCGAAGTAAGTGGTTGGATTCCTTTAGATCCTGCCAAAATAAAATGGGAGAAAAAAATGTAATAGAAGGTGGTATAAGATAAAGCATGTGAATATTATTAGAAAATACACCATTTCTGTATTATTTGCATTGTATCACGTGACAATAACATTACCTTGCAGGAATGACAAGCCTCATTCGGAGTTAGACCTTACTTTAAGACATTTAAGACTCTGAAAGAGACTCAAGAGAAAGTGAAATTGCTATGGTGAGCCAACTGAGGTTACAAAGGAAGTCAGTGGCAGAGCTGGGAAAATGTCTTCTGACTCCCAGGCCACTGCTTATGGCAGGAGATCACTTAGCTATCAAAAAAGACCGTGATCTTTTCTTTCCGTGCAGGACCATTTATTACTGAACAGCTGTTGTCAGTCCATTTAGTGTATTTGAAAAAATTCTGAAGAAAGTAAATATCTATTCTTCCCTTAGAAATGGTTTTAGAGTTTTCTGGATATGACTAGTTTAACTTTCTATATTTTTCCTTTTCTAATTTCACCCCATCACATTTAATACTCCACCTTCAGCAACCCTAAAAAATTCCTACATGAACTACTGTTCAGTAATCTAATAAGACAGTAAAGTGTGCCTTGACATCCTAACCAAGACAGTAAATATTTAATATAATGCACTCTATGAGAAGCAAAGTACAATTAAATGAAAAGTCAGATAAAATGAGCTTAAATGTAATAAATACCAATTACCATTCAGTGCCGAGAAGTTGTATGTATATTTATTTCCTCTCAGCACTACTGGCACCCTGTATTTTGTGGGTTTGAAATGGCAACAGACACCCACTTGCAAGCCTACTTCATAGTGTCTGTTAAAATAATTATTGATATTATTGGTTTATTGTTTGGCATCCCAATTTTTTTTTCAGTTAGCTGCAAAAGTCTGTGTTGCTGGGTTAATTATTTCTTATTTTTTTTCTTCCTTTTTGGTTCACGTGGAAAAAAAAAACATAGAAAAGTTGTAATAAATATTGAAAAATTACTCATTTTTTTAAAATATATTTGGAAAATAAAATGCAGATTTGATCCAAAACTATTTTTAGCCTGCAAGGTGAAAACATTCAAAAAGAAGCAAAAAACTGTCCTTACACTTTCATTTCCACCTTGAATAAGATATGGTGTTCTTTATTTATTGTTCCATACTTTTATGTTCTCACCAGATGCTGTGCTCCATCCAGAACCACCTATGCTTTGCCACTTCCTTTTAGGAAAATAGATAATTTTCTATCAACTCATCATCTAAAAGCTGAGACACCATTGTTTGGAAGAGGAATTTTCTTGCTAGCATATGGAGAAACCATGGTAGTTAAGATCCAAATTAATCCAAATTAAGGGTGGTTTCAAAGCTTCCTGGAACCACTCATAAAGATTACTGCAGGCCTCTAATCTTTAGTCTTCAAGAATTTTCTCTAATCTTGACTATTCAAGAACAACTATATTTAGAGTTTGTACTTAAAAGAAAAATATTGTCTACAGATACGTACATTTTTTAACAAGAATCTACAAATACTGAGCACATCCTGCTATCTAATAAAAGAGTGCAAGTAGAATCATAGAATTGCAGAATGGTTTGGGTTGAAAGGGACCTTAAAGATCATCTTATTCCAACTCCCCTGCCCTGGGCAGGGACACCTGCTATCCAACTGTGTGCAACCTGGCCTTGAACACTTCCAGGAACGGGAAAATACATTAAGTACACTAGTTAGTTTAATTATTCTAGTTTAAAAGCACTAACACATTTACATCTTTTATGTTTTATTCTGAAACATTCATTTGAAAACTGTCAGCTTCTTCTGTCAGAAATTTAATTCATATTGCGTTTTTCTGTGGGATGATATAGAATCATAGAATCTTTAAGGTTGGAAAATATCTCCAACATCACGAAGTTCAACCTTTGACCAAACACCTCTGTGCCCATTAAACTGTTTTGAAAAGTGTCACATCTACTCAGTTTTTGAATGCTTCCAGGGACGGTGACTCCTCCACTTCCCTGAGGAGTCTGTTCCTGATATCTCATGTACCATGCTGGTGATGGGAGTTTCTATCACACAAGACCACACACACTCCCTTATGCATATTCTTTCCATGTATCCAGCCTGATTCTTAGTCCTAGGGGACATCACAGCCTTTATTCTAGTCTCCAGTGAAGTTAGATCCTTGAGAAAAAGCCAAACTTTGGAAAAACTTGTCCCTTTAATAAAATTTTCATAAGGCAGACTGAGTGGTCTGAATACAAGCCAGCAGTGTGCCCAGGTAGCCAAGAAGGCCAATGTCATCCTGGCTTGGATCAGCAATAGTGTGGCCAGCAGGACCAGGCAGTGATTTTCCCTCCATGCTCAGCACTGGTGAGGCTTCACCTCAAATCCTGTGTCTGGTTTTGTGCTCCTCACAATAAGAAAGGCATTGAGATGCTGGAGTGTGTCCAGAGAAGGGTAACAGAGCTAGGGAAGGAGATGGAACACGTCTGATGAAGAAAGCCAGAGGTAGCTGGGGGTGTTTAGCCTGGAGGAAAGGAGGCTCAGGGGGGATCTTATCACTCTCTATAACTAGGTAGAGGAGATTATAGTGAAGTGGGTGTCAGTCTCTTCTCCCAGTTAGCAAGTGACAGGACAAGAGGAGATGACCTCAAGCTGTGCCAGGGGAGGTTTAGATTAGATATTAGGAAAAAATACTTCACAGAATATCTACATTCTGTGGAGTCACCTTCCCTGGAAGTGTTCAAAAAACATGTGGCTGTGGCACTTGGGACAAGGTTTTATGGTGAACATGGCAGTGGTGCTGGGTTGATGCTTGGACTTGATGACCTTAAAAGTCTTTTCCAACCTTAATGATTCTGTGATTCTATTCTATGACTGCCCACACCACCCAAAAGCAGATTCTGGGATTTGCTCTCACACAGAATATTTTGAACTATTAAGGTAGTTTACTACAGAGTGATCACTTCCATTAATAAAATCATTGTTCCTAAGATACTATCAGTAATTCTACTGTTAATTAATTCGAGGAGATTTGCTGACCTGCATTTGGATGCTGTTGTCTGTCATTAAAGCTGCTTTGCAGTTATAATTAAATACACAAAATGGACATCACTACTTTCACTTGGTTGTGTATCTTTCATTTTGAAGGTCACTCTAGCATAGACTCATACAGTGGTTTATATCAGGGATTTTTTTCAAACATTACAAGATGTCTCATAGTCAAACAGGTTACTTCCAACGTTTCTGAATGAGAGATGCTTTAAAAGAATAATTTTCCCCTGATTATCGCTGGGTAAATACTTCCTCTTGAAATGATGCACTCATTGATAGATATTCAACCTCTTGCACTGCAGACTGGTGCAGTGATTTGGAGCATAATAAACAGCTACTTTGAGGAGGTATGCACAGGAATGGAGTTTAGTTTGCATCCATGTTGAAACTGCAAAGGCAGCTATACAATAAAGATTATCATTGAAATCAATAGCAACGTGGTGGACGAGGAGGGAATAAACCCACTGAATTGCTACTGCATAGTCATTTTAGCACCACATATTAATAAGTTATTTGTGGCTATTACCAGAACATCTACGAAAACATTTCAAGTGTTAAAAAGATATGCAGCTTATATTGTAAATATAAAATTTTGAGATTAGTGAGAAAGAGGATCCCACTGGCTTGTAGTTACTTTATACATTGTATTTGACTCATTCTAAAAAGTAAGGGAAATAGCAATGGATAACAGAAGACCCATGTCTAAAAATGGGGAAAAAATGAGTTTAATATGCCATTCCAATTAATTCCCTGGAGGATTAGACAGAAGAATGTAATTAAGGTTTCGGATCTTTATGGAATGTTCCATGTTGTTAAACAAACAATAAAATTCATGGCTATTCCTATAATAAAACTTAAAGAGGTTTCTCTTGTTGAAATAAACTTAATGTACGTTATCATTTGGGGGAAAGTGTCTTCATATTTGGTAGGTTTGATAGGATTCAGGGACTATGTCGTGGCAGTGCTTGAGAAACCAGGTTATAATCAGAATTTAACTTTCAGTTCTTCAGTTTGTAATAGATTAATGAAGTTGAAAATTTGTGGAACTGTGGGCTGCTGCAGTTGTAGTTGTGGTAAACTATCTGATCTTTTCATAATGAAGTGATGCAAGAAACACTTGGAGACTCTTTTGTGTACCATTGAGAGAAATATGTCCTACAGAAGTTTTCAAGGTAGCAAATATGTGAGAGGGGTGGTTTATTTTTTTGTGTTGCTTTGTTTCCATTTTTTTTATATTACCGCTATACACTGAAATCATGAATAGGTTTATGTGTTTGTAATATCACTGAGATACAATTTGATAATGAATAGCAGAAAATGGAATACTTCAGATTACATTAACACAGGATGAAAGACATCTGTTGCAGACCTTGAAATGAAAGAAAGTATAAATTCCTTAGATCGGTTACTAAAAAATTGGATAAAGGATATAGCACTTGTGTGCTACTTTAACTGCCTAGACTCTTTTTACTGCTGGGTAAAACTCACAGTTAAACATGGATCATCACAAATGATCCTAATTTACATAGATGAAAAAATTTATGATGTGGAAAAAAGTGAACTAAATCTAAAGAAGGTCTTATGCTTTTACATTTGTCATGGTTTGAGGTGGCTGGGTTTTTGGTAGCATGGGGGGTTACATAGGGTGGCTTCAGTTAGAAGCTGCTAGAAGTCTCCCCCCCAGTGAAACCAATGACAGCTGGCTATAGGAGGGACTTCCTGCTCCTGGCTAAGGGGGAGCCAATAATCACGCCTCTGTGATAACATATTTAAGGACAGGCTGTTGCACAGAAGAATCTCTTGAGCCACGGCAGAGCTGACCGAAGCTTCCAGCCAGCCCTGCCGCCTCCCCTGCCATGGGGGGGAAGGGAAGGCGGCGGCATCCCAGCCCAGGCCTCTCGGCACCTAGCCCAGAGCAGGCACCGGCGGCCCCTGTGA